TGCATGCCCTGAAATAGCACCTCTTGTGCATTTGAGCTGTTCTGGGGGGATTGTTTTTATCTTATTTAATTGATGAAGGAAGCCCGACCTAGCATTTTCACCAAGGTACCACAGCATCCATGGCTACATTCAAAGCAGCAGCTGGCCCCAGCCCCACTTCCTAGACTGACTTCCCACTCCTCCCACACCCAGGTCCTGAGCTTTCCCTCCGCCCATCCTTTGTTCTTGCTTCCCCCTCCTCCTGGAATTCTTCCCTTATTCCAGTCACCCTCCTTAGAGCCAACCCAACCTTCATATGACAGCTCAGCAAGAATCAGCTCCAAAGAGGCCATCTCGAGGAGTGGGTATAGCTCAGCGGTAGAGCGCATGCTTAGCATGGATGAGGTCCTGGTTTATCTCCAGTTCCTCCATTTAAAAACAAACAAACAAAGAGCCCATCTCAGTCAGTACGTCCTAAAGTGAGCATCAGGATGGAGGTGGAGCATTATGTTGGCTGGAGGGTCGCTTCCCCGGCGTTGTTCTGTCTGGGTGCTAAGCAGAGTGGACATCTCTTGCGTTCACTATCTCAGAATCTCAAAAACTCAATTTCCGGCAGTGGCTTTGCAGAAGAGTTCTCTGATGAACAGCTGATGGAGGACACAATATCCCCAACACCGACAGGCAAGCACAGATAAAGAAAATGGATAAATAGGAAGGGAGACAGCAAATGAACGTGCCGTCAGCGGGGGGGCCAGATGGAAAGGTGCAGCTGTCAGCCACTCCCCGCTTCCCCTCTCCTGGCCCTTAGGAGACCAGCATCCGACTTCTCCAGGGGCATTGCTTCAGATCAGTAAAAATTACTCAATCATCCTGTCTTTCTAGGAGACGCTGCCGTGAGCCGATGAACCAGAAACAGAGCGTGGCTATCTGTCTGTGTTGCACCAGGTCATGGCCGCCGTGGGCTGGTCTCCTTGCAATCAGCAGATAGAGCATCAGGAGAGAAATGCACCAAAGGCTGGGAATCACCTCTGCTCCCTTCAGCCGCTAGATCGGGGCTCCCCAAAATGTGAGATGAGCTTGGGAGGTGGACAGTGTTGCAGCCCGTGAGGGTGCAGACGGGCCTCGTGCAGCTCGGGGAGAGGGTGGGGAGAGCGTTCTCGTGAGTGTCCACGTGGCTGGGTTGCTGGGGGAGCCCCTCTGAGGTATGGAACCCTCTGGACCTCACAAATGAGAAGACGCTGTCCTTTCCAGTCCCCTCTGAATTACTCTGACTCCATCAAGGAGAAGTTCTCATTTGCTGTATCTTTAGCTTCTTCTGCTCAGTGGTCTCCTGGTTCAACGAAGAAGCGACAAACTTCAGGCTCAGGGCCCTAGGCTGGCAGCCATTTGGGACGTGGGCTCTTGGTTTTTTATTTTTTAATTCATTGTAGGATTCTCTAAACAAACATAGGCGTTACTTCATGGATATTTAATAATCTAAACATTTTATTTAATGTGTTCATTCCTAATGAACTCACCCAGTAATTAACAGTGCATGAATGTATGGTCGATGGCGTGAGAGTGACGTCTGGATGTCTGAAGCTGAGGAAACGCCACCTTCCGTTGGAAGCATTGTGTGTGCAGAGCTGTCCCTGGTGGTCCTGGGCATAGATGGGCACAATGAATTCTTTTCTTTTTTTTAAAGACTTTATTTCTTCAGAACAGCTTTAGGGTCACAGCAAAATTAAAAGGAAGGTACAAACTTTATGTTCATAACCACCAGACTAGACCCCACTCCCTTCTTTACAGTATCTCCATCTTCTTGGCTCAAGCTGTCTCTCCTGGGCTGTTAAAATTCAGCTCTAGTTTCAGCAGGAAGGTGTGAGCCAGGCCCTCTCAGTTCCGTGTGAAGGATGATGAGTGACTTGCTTAAATAACGGGAGACCCTAAGAGGGGAGACACCCACACAGTGTGCCCAGTCCGGCTCTATGTCACGGACAACAAACTCAGCATTTGCTTAACAGCAAAGGTTCTTTTTTTTTTAAGGCTTTTTTAAAAGCTAAAAAGACAAAAAAGTAGGGGGGAAAAAAGGAATTTCCATCTGCAGGCAGAGTGGAGCATGATGATAACCCTTGCTGACAAGGCTACCCGTCGTGGCAGGCACCCCACACCAGCGGGCCTTAGCATGCTGGCTCCCTTCCTTCCGAGAGCCCTGGGCCCACTACCTTTTCCGAACAAATGAGTCTTTAAATCTCTGCACTTTGAGGTTTAAGAGCTTTTTCAGAGAGGAATGCATACATCAGAATGAAAGTATCAGGTGTAGCAACTGGTCTGCCGGTTTGTACCGAATATTACACGTTGCTTCAATAGTGAATGACTTTCTCTAAAGACATAGAGCCAGCACCTCTTCCGGAATGCCGAGCAGGGCGTTTGGAGAGTGTGCTGCCCTGGTCCTGAGGTGCCTGGGTGGGAATGGAGGTGCTGGAGCGTCTTTAAAGGGAGGGGGCGAAGCGCCTGGGTTAACCCGCGACCTCGCCACAGCGCCTCGGGGCGAGGAACGGGCGAGAAGGCTGTTGCTCTGAAAAGCCGCCTCGACAACCCAGGCCCATTTGGCTGCAACACCAGAGGCAGCTTTGATCCGTTGGGCAGTGCCCCTCCTGGGAAGAGGAGGAGAGGAACTTCAGGGGAGGGGGCCCGGGGCCGCCCCAGAGGCCGGATGGGCGCTGCCGGCAACTGCTAGAAGCAGGGGCAGAAGGGGAGGAGGAGACATCGGAGGAGGCGAAGGATCCCTCGCAAACCCAAAGGTACCCGAGGGTCCAGCAGCAAACAGCTAAGTGAGGCTGCCTGCTGGGTGTCTTCTCTTACTGTTGCTGGCTGGGCAGCCGGCCTCAGTGTTGCCAGATTCTCCCACGTTTGAAGAGAAGCTGGAAACCCAGATACCTACCAGTTTTTAAAAAATGGTCCCTGTGCAGCATGATCTTTTAAAATACCGTGGGCAAGGGTATATAGCTCAGTGGTAGACTGCGTTTAGCATGCATGAGGTCCTGGGTTCAATCCCCAGTACCTCCATTAAAAAAAAATAAAAATAAATAAATAAATAAACCTAATTACCACCCCCCGCACACCAAAAAATAAATAGATAAAAATAAAATACCACGGGCAGAACGAAACCCACCTGCAGGCTGAGTTAAGCGCCATTAAGTGAGCAGTTTGCCGTGTCTCCTGGTTTGCCGTTTTTCTTTCGACTGCTTATATTTCTGGTTATGCAAACAATTTTTTTTAAATTTTTACATAGGCAAATTTATCATTCTTCAATTGCCTATGGCATTTGAGTCCTAATCGGAAAGATTTTCCTACAAGCAGGTTATAGAGGAAATCACCCACTTTTTCACCTGGTACTAAAATTGTCATTTCCTTTCATCTGTATCACTGCTCCGTGTGGAGTTTCTTCTTGAATATGGTGTGAGGTATGGATTGGATTTTCTCTCTTTTTCCCCCAGGTGGCTAGCCAGATTCCTCAGCGCTGTTCATTGAAAAGTCTGTCTTTGTCCCCTGATCTGTGGGGCCGCCTGCATCACATACCAAATTGCTAGGTAGACGTGGGCTTACCGGTGAACCATTTTAGTCCACTGGTCTGATCTTTTCATTCCTGTACCAGTCTCATGAAACATGTTTTAAGCTCACGCAAGCTGTTAGTAACCACATCCATCCCACACGCCTAGGTGACTCGCCGGCTCCCTGTTGGGCGGGACTCCATGCAATCGCCACGGCGCAACAAATCCTAACCTACAAGCATCTCCACCTGGCATGTTTCAACCTGACACAGGCATATCGTTTTCAGAGCGTGGAGTCGTTTATGGGCCGACCCCCACAGGAGGGTGAAAAGTTCTCACCAGGTGGCCTTCAGAGTGTGAGCCCCCTCGTTTCCAAATTGCCTGAAGTTACCGCTCGCTCCGAGGTGACTTCCAGCGAGCCCGGCAGTAACCCCATCCTTGTCTTTTTCTCTTCCTCCCTTCTCTCCCGCCGCCCCTCAGTGATAGAAGGCCGCGGGGTCCCAGACGACCGGCCGAGGGCGTCCTCGCTGCCGCCTTACCTGCCCGTGAGCTACCGCGTGCTCAGAGCCGACACCGCCTTCCTCCTGAAGGAGACCAGCCGGGACGAGACCCGCAACTCCAGCCTGCGGTCGCGCGTGGAGTCCTTCTTCGCCTACAGAGCCCGGCGGCCCCCGGCACTGAACGCCAGCTATGGGCCCTTCTCGGTGGAGAAGGTGGTGCCTCTGGACCTCGTGTCGCCAGCCAGCGCCTGGGGCCCGGCCGGCAAGTTCG